TATGTCCAATGGCATAACTCCCTTAGCCGAAGTTGCTCCTCCATTGAAGCTAGTGAGGATGACTTCTGTAGGAATCATGTCACCCTCTATCTTTGCGAACCTCCTCATCATCCTAGATGAAATGGTGTTTATAGCTGCTCCATTGTCGACAAGCACTTTTGCCACTGGGACGCCGTTAACTAGAGCTTTAACGTATAATGGTCTCAAGTGTTTTGTCAATTTCATGGCTGGCCGTTTAAAAATAACCTTTTCGACAGCCTCTATTTCTACTTCCTGCTTGTTTTCTGTTGAATTATCCCCCTGTGATAAGTCGACGTGCAGTATATCACGCTGATCCTCTGTCTCCTGAACTTCCTTCCTACTTCTTTTTAATGCTTCTTCATCAGTTACCCAACCTGTGGGAAGGGGCATTATTCTTGGAGGTGACCCATACTTTTCAGAGCGAGGCACTCTCTTCTTCCTTTTGGGTGTCCCGTACAGTACGTAGAAATCGAAAGGACGCCCAGATGGTTCCCCTAACAAGTCTACTTCGCGAACTCCCTCTTGATGTAGTTGCTTTAATAGAGTATTGCGCGATACTCCTCTCTTTCTTCTTTCTGCTTCTAGGTCGATTTCTTCTTCAATGTCTGTCATCCCGTCGTCCTCTTCATCGTTGTAGGCCTCTCTAGAAGTCTGGCCTTCTTCATATACCAGCACGCAAGCTTCTCCTTCATTGTCTTCCCTCTCTTCTTCTTTTTCCTTATTCTTGAATTCATTGGCCAGTAGGTAATTATTGGCCATGACAGGAGGCAACATACCGAATTGGATAGTAAGGGGCTGATCTGGATCTTCTTCATCCCTTCTGTCTCGCTCAAACCTTGATCTCCCAGAAGAAGTTTCTGGCAGTTCCTTCATTGATTCATCTGTACCGGTCTCTTCACTATTTTTGAGGACATTTTGATTGGCTACCTTGAGTAGTTTAGGCGATTTAGGATGTGGCATTCCCTGTTGCTGCCTCATCATCCGTCCGTAGTTTCGTTGGAAACGCCTTTGTTGGGTCCTAGTCATCTCATCGAAGGGTATTGCCCTTCCTGCATTGTACTGGAATGAATGCCATACATTTGGCCGGCGAGGTTGCGGCCTGAATGTTCTTCCATTATCTGCTGGCCTTGACTGTCTCTCAAAAGGCGATCCTCTATAGAATGATGTACCTCGCCCTCTACCAGGCTGAGTGTTTGGGAAGAAGGTAGGGCGATGAGGATGCTGCCATGTCCCTGGTTTCTCCGTATTTCCATTCACTTCTCTTTTACACCTTGCACACAGGACGTCTTCGTCCTTTTTTGGTTCTTTCCCCTTGATTCGTTCAAAGACGCTGGGGTGTGGTCTAGGATCCTCTTCTCCATCATCTATGACCAACTTGAATTTTGGCAACTTGTTTTTTAATCCAGATGTTACCATGTTTACTCCAAGTGGCCGTGGGAAAGGATTTTCGTCCACTGCCATCTTTTTCTTATCATCGAACATAATTCGTCCTGATTCAATGACATCCTGCAATACATGACGGAAAACCAAGCAATTGTTAGTCAAATGTGACAATGCATTATGCGACTTACAATATTTTTTACCCTTGATTTGTTCAGGATTTGGCAATTTGTGTTTATCGCTCAATTTTATCTGTTTATCCCTATATAATTTATCAAATATAAGGTCAGCTTTGGTTACGGTGAACGAGAACGTTCTAGCCTTTATGTTTCCATCTTTTATGGGCTCATCTTTGCCCGATGGTCTAGGCTTGGCCATTATAGGACAAGTATATGTATCTCCTTTGACCAATTCGGCCAAACACATTTCGGCCTGATCGTATGACTCGTCGTCGATGGTATGAACGTCAAAATTTGGGTCTTTATAATAAGTCCCTTTATTAGAATTTTTCATTTGTTCTTCCTCTCTTATCAGTCGCTCATACCTAATCACATTCGCACTCAACTGGAAAAGGTCAGGAAATTCCTTGTCCTGGAACTTCTTTTTTAAATCAAAGTTCAAGCAGCCCTGAGCGATCTTGACAAATTCTTTTTCGGGCAGAGGTACAAAACACTTGCTTCTTGCTATCTTGAACCTTGGAGAAAACTTTCTGCCCATTCGTTTGGCATTTGACGTAGATTCGCCAAATCAGCCAAAGTGACTTCACACTTAGTTTTATAAAACTGAGCGTGAAACAACTGTTCCAATTGTTGCCATGTTTGAACAGAGTTCGCTGGCAAGTTGATGAACCATGAGAAAGCTACTCCTGTTAACGAACTAGGGAAAAGCCTCATTTTATGGTAATCGGTTACATCACCACTTTGCAATATGAATCGCCCTATGTGTTCTAGAGTAGACACCTCTCCTAAACCGGTAAACAGTGAGAATTCTGGCACTTTGTACCCTCTAGGCCATGGATATGCTTGGTCTACCCAATCAGGATATGGCTTTGTGTACGTCGGCCTAATGACGGGACGCACCCCAAAAGTCATCTGATCCTGTACGATTTCCATAATCTGGTTCCTCAACATGACGTTGGGGTCATATGGAATTCCTACAGGTTGGTTAACCGGTTGATTTGCATAAGGCCTGATGTTTGGTCCTTGATTGGCAACAAAATTACCATGATTAGGGTCATTACCATTAGCTTGAACATCTATTCCCTCATTAACACGTGGAATATTCTGTCCATTGTTTAGGACATTATCTCTCACGTTTGGATTACCCCCCAAGTTAGGCATACCACTACCATTGTTTTGATTTGGCACTGTAGTACCCCCTTGGTTTGAAGTAGAGGGACCAGAAAGCGGTTCTACCCCTTGATTCGGATTTAGGACCGAGGGATTATGTCCCACAATTGTCCTAGTTTGAAAGTGATTTGTAAGAGGTATAGCCGGTTGACATATTTGGCCTACTAACTTATTCATTGTTTCGTTCAACGTCTTTAGTTGTTTGGCCATGTTGTCATAGTGTACATTCCCATTTTTCGTAAATCTTTCCATATTATGAATACTTCGAAGATTTACCTGTTCAACGACGTCTTGCGTGAGTTCTCCAAGTAATGCACGCATGGTTTGAGGACTCAATTCCGTCATTGGTTCGTAACGACTGTTACTGCTCTGATTCTGTCCATCTGTTCGTGGAGAGGCATGCTGCTCCTCATATCGCTCGATCACAGACTGAATTCCTCCCTGACTTGCTGCTTCCTTATCGGATCTCTGAGGCATATTGTTTCACCTTTTGTACTTTCAACACCTAACACCACTGTCCTACTAAGTGTGCCAAATTGTTTCGTGCGGGTTAGTCGCTAACAATTAAAAAGGATCAGACGATTGTGTAAGAGACAAACCTCTTGAGACAAAGTCCCCAAAAGGGGTGTTCTTTTATTGGTGATGACTTTACAATTGGAAATTAAAAACAATGTGCCTCCAAGGGGCGCAAGCACACGAGTTACTGAAAGAAAAGTGTTTAAGTCTAAGCTAAGGAAATGAAAATTACATGTTCTCTGTTCGAGAGTTTTTGATTCCTTTTTTCCTGCTCTATGTTTTTTCTCCCTTTTATACTTCACAGACGATCTCTTTGTGATCAACCGCCTAAAAACCGCTTGATCGTCCTATAACTGCCCACTTTCCTCATAATGGCCAACTTGTCATGAAAACTGCCTTTTTTAACTGTTGCCATTCCTCTTCGTCGTTCAACCGCTTTCGATTGAATTCCTTGAATCGTGGAACGTGATAGGACTGCTTTAATAACTGCTTTGATAACGGCACGTCTTGATAACCACAATGCTTTATATTTGTTAAGACCTTGGGCGATTTGAAGGTTTGGGCGAGAATAGAGTAACAGCTCTGGACGACTGTATGGCACTCCATTCGCTCAGATTCTGGGCGACTTGCAAACTTGGGCGATGGCGTTACCGCGTTCTTGGGCCTCCCTATTTGGGCCTTCATCTTGATTTGTTTGATTGGATTTCGTTCTTTGGGCTATCTGATTTGGGGATCCTTCAATTGGACTTCACTCTTTGGTCTATTCGATTTGGGCTGAATTTTTATGTGTCAACAAGATATTAATTTTAGTGATGTTCTTTTATATTATTATCATCATCAGTAATATTATCAAATATTTTTTTAACACAACGTATTCACTACAATTATTTTAAACTAAAAAATTGAACATATTTTAAATCTCAAAATATAAGAAGTTATAAAATAAAAGCATATTTCAAATAATAAAAAATTTCAAATTAATTAAAATTATCTTTTATGCATCATACTTGCAACAATTCGACTTCTTAGATGCTATTTGAGCCCAGTTTTTGTCCAAAATGAATTTTGAAATATTATTTTAATGAAAAATATGTGATTAAAAATAAGAAATATTTTTGAATTTACTTATAATATTATTTTATTGAAAAATGTGTTATTAAAAATAAAAGAGAAAAATATATTTTCAAAACAATAAGGACCAAACAAGAGCTTGATATCTTCATTTTCATGTAATAAGAAATAATATCAAATAAATTTAAATTATCTTTAACATGAACAATAGAACGTGAGATGCTTTATCATTAGAATACTAATAAACTTGAGATTATTATTGTGGTATTTTAATAATAAATAAGTGAAAATAAATAAATAAGGATCTGAGAAGCAACTCTATTTTTTAATAAATTCTAGCCACATGTAGCAACATGTTTTATTAATTAAAAAAAGGGGAAAAGAGTACAACTTAGGAGCAGGATAAACCTCACGACCAGCAATAAATAATTAAGAAATAAATCTTATAGCAAAGTATCGCGGATATAAATCAAGAATTGAATCCAATACTCGCAATTGATTTCCTTTCATGGCTTAGTTAGTCCATTTTGAACTAGAATTTTGCTAGTTGTACAATCGGAGTTGACAACCTCGATTGTACATATAGCATGCCCCTTTGAACCATCCTCGATATACTCAAAAAATTGTAGCTCAAGCAAGAAGACAAGTAGAAGGAAAGCCAACTTGAATTTCAAACTAATCTATTCAAATATTCTTATCGCCTATAAGTAAACTTTTTTAAGCAGTCCATAAATCAGATGAAATAACCATTTGCATGATGGATTAGGAACCAAGTTATCGGCACTGCACATCAATCGTATTACATAATACTTCAAATACACATATTAGTACTTGATCAAGAGAGACTTTCTTTTTTTTCCCTTTTATTTTGTGTTTCTGTTTAGGGGCTGAAGATATTAGACAAACAATAGAAGGATAAACTTAAGCAGCTTCAGCAAATCCAACCCTCATATTCGCATAGTCGAATACAGTGTGATACTGACCCATGAAAACGTCGCCCAAAATCCTGCAAACGTGTTGACAATTTTGGAATCGTTACAGCAATTAGGAAACAAGATGGTCACAGGGAAAAGCATAAATTGGTGGAGCGAGCAGTGTGTATATATATAGGAAAGAAGGTTACCACAAAGGACCGCGAGGAGGGGCCACATCTAAGGCTGTAAATCCACTAATGCACTGAGCTACATCACCTTCACCAACCTTAAGGACATACTGCCAGCAGCAACAACCATAAATGTTAAGGAAGAATATTCATAAATGTTAAGGAAGAATATTCAGTGTTTGTTTGGGAGAGATTATTTGAAGTGAAAAATGATTTTTTCGAGAATGTGCATTTGAAAACCAGTTTCGAGGTAAAATGACTTTTAAATAATTTGTGCAAAACAAACGCTTAGTCATTGTTGACCTTTGCAATGCGAAAGAGTAATTGAATTTAGAGGTAATGCAATAATAACAGACGATTGAAATGCAGTACAACCGATTATCATTCGAAAGGGATAGGCAACAAAACAACAAAAGAAGAAATAAATTTCTATACTGACTGAATTATGTCTAGTTTTCAAATTTTGATAGGTACTGGCACACTGATAGATTATGGATACCCAGTATTAAAAGATGATGCAACTCTTTTAAACATAGAGAGGCACATATAATGATAAGATGGGAAAAGATAAAACATATTCTACATACCTGCTCTGGGACGAGATCAAACAATTTACCACCTATGGTAAAGGTAACATTGGGCATGGAAGAAAGGCTATTGCAGTCGACAGCTGATTCTCCCATCGGACTGGGCAGTCGATCACAGAGCTGCAGTTGAAAATAAAAGCATGAGAACACAAAAATGCATCATTTTAATGACGTGTTTGGTAGGGAGGATTAGATAGTATTTAACAGTATTAAGAAAGAAATCTAAGCTAATCGTGTTTATTATCCAGTCCACTTCTATCCAGTATTACACCTAACATGCACTGAAGTCTAAAAGCCTTAATGTGCAAGTCACTTACCTCATTGATATAGTCCATAATTTTTTCTTCAGTTTGGTTCCGTCTGAGTTGATTTTGCATCCATACAACTGCCATCTCACAAGCAGTACACATCTCATCGTGCATACGATGAACCTTTTTGTTGTTCTTGTCCACCACGCTCTCAATAAGCAAGCTGGACAAACACGTGTTTTAAATTTACTTTATACACAACCAATCAAGGTACCAGCAAAATCAATATGATAGTCATGCAAGAAAAACTAATAGTATAAAGCATTATGACAAAGTGGAAAATTAGGAGTTGATCAATGTTTATATTATCAACTACTTTTCATAGAATGTATAATGGCATGAAATCACTAGATCACAGTGATGTCTAACATGGCTGATAAGAAACTCAGGGAACAATTTGAATCGAACCTAATATCGTGAGTACCATCAGAAGAACATAACCCAATTCTGGAACAAATTTTTTGGGATGCTGCCTGTAAACAACAACATGAAATACAAAATTCAGGTCCTCAGACTAACTGTAAGTAGAATAGTATCAGCAGATGGAGGTGAAGAAGTACATCCTCGGAAATTTGGGAAAAACGAAACAAATTAGACAAAGAATACACGGTTCTATACCTCTGATAACAACATTTCGAGTATGGTTTTCCCATACTGGGCAACAACAGACTTGCATTCCTGGCTTACGACCCCTGAAGCTCCAATGGCATGATTGATTTGAGCAATAATAGTCTGAAAACATGATATTCCAGTATGTCAATCATGTTGGCACATGTACAGATAAGATGCAACACATACTAGAATTTAGCACAATCAGACAAGATTAAGCATGTTTCAGAAGTGTCTATTTGACGGTTTACATTACAAATATAGAAATGAGTGGTAGATAAGTGGAAAGTAAGCGTAGATCTCTCAAAATATGTGGATAAAAAGTGCCTTGAGTACATGAGCCCAACATAGGTCAAGCATAATAAACTTCCAATGCATGACTCAAGAAAATATGAATACCAGAATGAAACTGAATGGGAAGGGCTAAAGTTAGATTTCCTAATGGAGACCATTAACATCACGTTATAGGTTTAGATCTTTACCAAAAATTAAAACCTTGAGCTCCATATCATTTCAGAAAATATTTGGAAATATACCAGCAGTCATCTAGTTTTAGCTTAGTTTTCACTAGATTTGTGTCCTTTACGAATAACTTCTAATTCAGTTTTTACAAACCGAAGTTTTTTTTTTTTTTTGCTTGTAGACCTCGAGAGTGCTAGCGCTAGATTACTTGGATTGCTTTTTCAAGCAAAAAACTCTCAGTCCCACCATCTTTATTTCACTTGCACCACCTCTAATGTGTTGTTCATTGCAGTGGGCGACCCTAGATCCCAGATCCCAGCACTTAATTCATACATGCACCAGCTGTCTTGACTTGCTGCCTCCGCAGAACACACAATACATTGGATCCAAACAGGTCATCCACATTATGGGAATCAATAGTCAGAAGTACTTATACAAACAAGTGACTTTAAGCCCCTCACATCTAGAAAGCACAATCTTGCAAGACCAATCAAACAGCAACAACCAAGTCATGCAAGTTGAAACTTGGGACAATCTTAATTCATAAGATTTAGAATTTTTCTGCCTGTCAAAGTGAATGAAGAGAATCTGTCAACTTCTAGGACATGACAACAGGGAGATATATTACCCGAGATACTGGAGGTTTATCTTCCACTTACACCCCACAACCACTCCCCAAATTCATCTGTATAGACGTACGTAAAATAAAGTAAAAGACAAACAAAAAACAGGAAGATTATACCAGGGATTTATCATGATTGAGCTGTGTGGTGACCATAGATTATAGATGAAACATATAAGGGAAAATAAATAAATAAATAAATAAAATAAAAATCCCAATCAGCAGAGTGGTTGCCAGGAACTCATCTCAACACCAAGCTACCAAAGTACTTTAGGCCCTTCAAAAATGCAATTGTGAGGGACTGCATATTTCATATCTAGAGAGACATCAGAACACTGAGTTGCATGTCAGAAATTAGATGCTGCACGATTTAACACTTGAACCTCATCATCAATGATCCCAATGCATAACAAAAATTTAGGAAATCTCATCAACCCCAAAATGAAATAGGAAGGTAGGAATTGCCTACCATAAAATATGCTAAATAAATACCTCTTAGGCTCCTACACCAGATATAAGTATGATATCCATCTGAAAATGCTTTTAGCAAAGAAATGGAGTTTTAACCATAGTCCAACACAAAAATTTCGTAAGTATTACTCTACAATGCTATTGAAGCAATAAATGAAAATAAAATTAGAAATGCAGAATATAAGTATCATTTTCTATAGTAGTAAAAAATTACACAAAAATGGCAGAATAACATAGTGTGTGATTAAAGTATATGCCAAAGTCTAATTAACAAGTCTACTTCATTTGGCATATAACTAAAGTACATCATTGTTAAATAATCTATCAAGCACCAGTGAATAAACGAATCTCAAATTAACTGCTATAAGTTTATTAGGTCACGTGGAATACATACCGTTGGTCCTGCCAACAATGAGGTTCCAGAGTCCGCAATTGCTGAACAACCACCAGAACAAAAACCTGAAAAAGAGAAATATTAGCTCTGAAGACCTTCACAAGAAAAACTGATCAAACGATTATATAATCGTCAAAATTCGGAAACAAAATAGAAGTAGAAGTTCCATAGAATCACCAGTTGTCTCGTTGCCAACTAGTATGTCACCCATATCAAACTGCAAATGAAGGATAATAATTCAGACAAGGGCAAGGTTAAAGGAAAAGATTGCTGACAAGATACAGTGTAAAATAACCAAGTTAGGAGATAGTACCTGCCAATAGCCCTTCCGAGTCACGGGGACATATGTGTGTTCGCCCCTGAAATGATTAGAATCAATACCACCGAAAACAAGTTCACCCCCATCTTCGTCATTAGCCTTGCGGTTAAACCAAAATGAAAAAACTTGGTCTTTCACTAGACCTTGTTTTACCATATTGTACCTGTAAAAATGTAAAATACTAAGTGTAAAATAACTTGTATGCAACACAGACATAAATATAAGAAAATCAAAGAGAATTCAATACGATACTATTACTGGGTCAAAAACCTGTTTGAGCACTCAACTAGTGGGTATACACTAATTTTGGTCACTCTTCCTTTTTGTTGCAAAATTAGCGCTAATGTTTCAATTCCATCAATACCAACTAGCGGAATGTGCAAGTGGAGTGACTAACGAGGTAATAACATGATAGTTCGGTGCTAATTTTGTAACAAAGAACAGTGATCAAAATAGGGAATATCAATAAGTTGAGTGCCCAAAATTGTTTTTAACCCATTAGTTTAATAACTTTAGTGATCTTCACATTATATAAACACGCGTACATCATTGCATAGTAAAAGAGAAAGTAAATAAAATATTTCATTCATGACAAATTATTTCTTGTCCTGCCTTTTAAAATTCAACAAGTGAAGTAGCATCAAGGCTGAAATATCCTAGTGACCCAGTTTAAAATTAAAATTAATTTTGTTCTCTTTTCTTTGTATTTTGGTAAGGTGGGTTAGACAATACTCAACAATAGCAAATGAGAAAAAGAAGTTAAACTCCAATCTATAATATTGTTTTCTATGATATAACACCACCTATGTTTGTCCAGTGAGTGCCATAAAATATTTCGTCCATAGGAAGGTTTATCTTTATCTTGCTTGGCACATCAATTGTTCTGGCTAAAACATATACTTTGATGCACTACAACAAAAATGTTCTGATCAAGTTTTTAGTGTCGTTAACAGGAGACAGATTTCAATTCATTACATACAATAACTTGACTTATTTAGTTATGAGTATTAGGTTCATTCTTCTAATCAAAAGACGAAATAGCTAATTATATCCCTAATTTCAAATCACGTGCTCTTGTGGATCAAGGAAAACTCCACAACTTCTTTATCAAGACTTCTTGACTAAGACTGTCAAATTAAAGAATTAAGTAAGAATTATATTAATTTTTTAAATTGGTCTGAGTTAACAATAACTGGATATCTTATTACTAATTTTAAAGTTATGCACCATTTTACAGCCAGGAGAGTAATTTATTACTTATCTATAAGAAAAGGGAAAAATCTACAGACTTCTTCACTAAGACTGTCAAATTAAAGATACCATGAGGAACAACCTTAGTCTTCATCTCCTGTTCAATATAACAATAGAATAATTTACTTTATCAAAATTTCAAAGTAAGCTATATATCTCTCAATTTTCAAAATCATTAAGTAAGAATTAAAATAATTAATTTTTTATTTGGTCAGAGACTCAGAGTTAACAATAACTGGATATGTATGTTACTTATTTTAAAGTTATTCACTATTTCACCGCCAAGAGAGTAAATTATTACTTATAAATAAGAAAAAAGAACGTGCTTGAAAATAAATTATTTAAACTAGCCAAACAAGCTCACTGCAGTCCCTCCACTTTGTACAGAAGGCGCTACTTTGTAATCATCAATTTCACATTTTCATGCTATTTTAGTCTAATTATTATTGCTAATGAAATGCATGTCTAAACTATTGCAATTTGATAAACTAAGCTACCAGTTATCTGCCAATGTAGGTTAGATTATTTTATAATTGAATAACTTCTCAAAGAATTCAAATCAAGGATTAATTCAAGTACCAGACAGGAACAGCATTCCCAACAGATATCTCCTGAAATCCAAGTCCAAGAATGCCATCAAACTTTGCTGCCAAGAAGGTGATGCCTGGCTCTTTTGTCGCCTCAATGAAATCCTAATGAAAACAAAATTTTGAGAGGCAATAAGCAAATAAATTTGAAAAAAAAATTTGTGTGTGTCCTGAGGCATACCTGATCCTTCACAACAAGATCACCAAGTTTAACATAGTCTTGGCTGAAAAACCCAGAGATAGATCCGGTTCCATAATGAATTGCAGCAGATTTTCCTACACCAATTATAAATCCAGAAAAAATCTCAAGCTAGTTCTGCAAGTAAGATAACATAATTTAACCTTACGTGGATGATAACTGTCAATTAAAAGGAAAGCAACCATTACTGGATTCAGAAAGAAAAAAAAAAGAAGAAAAAAAAGGATGATCCATCACATATGTGGTAGTTCCTGATATTAACATTGAAATTTCTAGAGTAGAAACTAACCTAAACAAAAAGGTTAGTAAGTCATAAGGGTATCAAAGTTTTCTGAAACTTGTAAAAGAAAAAAACGCCATAATCAATGAAATGAATGAGGCGTAAAAAATCAACGATCAATGTTCATAGATACATGACCAGACAGCATAATAGAAGTAAGAGCAAGAAATATGAAAATATTTCGAGTACCATTCTTTTTGTATGTACTTGAATGGCTTGATTTGTACTTTGAATGGAAGAAACACGCAACCTGCATCATTAGCAAATATTCAAGCATTGGAAAACATTGGCTACAATCATTCAGAAAAGAAAACCTGGAAGGGGAATTAGAGAGGAGAGCAAGACTTTTAGCCGTAGAAGTAAAAAGACTTCAAAAAGAACTCACAGAAAAATAGCATTTTGCCGAGGGCACCCAAAGATTAGAACTTCCTGTGTCAAAAATCACAGTAAATTTCTGGGGCGGTGTTCCAATACCAATCTCACCAAAATATTGAGCATCCAAATAGTTCTTTAGAGAAATGATATCAGTATCTGAGTCTCCAACATAACCACGAAGATTATAATTTCGTACAAAACCACCCTGCTTTGAGTCAGGGCCTTCGGAAAACCGGTTAATCTGATTTAATTTCCTCTTCTTCAGTCCAATTCGTAAAAATTCACCATTGGATGCAGGAATTACAGTTGAGGATAAAGCAAACAACACAGCAAGTCCAAACAAACTGGCTCTATATCTTTTATCCATGTTCCAGAACTGCAAAAATCATGTACAAAAGATCATCTAATAACATAGAGAAAAGGGAAAATATAAAAACAAATATGAAGGGGGAAGTAACTAATCTCACTTCATTTTTATCCAAAATTGCACCCCAAAAAAATAAAAAATAAAAAAAAATAAAAAGAGTTTAAAATTCCCAGAACAGAGTTCCATATTCATATGGGTCACTTCCTAATAAGCTTTTGGATCGTTTTGTATGCAGAAAACTATAACCTATTTTCTCGGATTAGTTGATTTTTCCACTACCCAGAAAAGTTTATAATTTCTGTAAATATACATTAACCATAGAACCTTAAATCTATTACGAAAAAAATATATGATACATCTTGATTTACCAAGAAAAAGAGAGTATATTTTCCTACAACTTGAACAACATAAGAGGAAATGGGTTGAATTCTACTCACCCCAGGGATCGAAGCTAAAGAAATATTGCAAATATGAAAATCCAAGTCAACTGTAGGCATAACTACATAGCAATAGCAGTTTGACAGTGCCAAAGTATAAAATCAGGGTTAAATACACATTTGGTCCTTCAGGTTTTGGAGATATTCAATTTCATTCTTAATGTTTATTTTGTTTCAATCCATCACTAAATTTATTTCCTAACAGTTCCAATCTAGTCTTTTTGTCATAAGCCCATTTTTCTTATTCACCTGCGTGGATAAAAATCAAAATTTTTAATAAATTTTGATAAAAGTTAAAGGAATGCGTTTTTAACCGTTGTGAAAATCATAAAAAATATAGTTAAAATTAATTATTGACTTTACTTTAGATTTTAATCAATTTTTTTAGCTAAACCAAACAGGACTTAATTGATATCACACATATTAAGGGCCTGTTTGGGAGGGATTTTTTATCTCAAAAAATTGATTTTTTGACCATTATTTCACTATTTCAGCTGTAATTTTTTATTTCTTTTCTCATAGATAGACTCCACTTTTCTTCTAACGGTCAAAAAATCAATTCTCAAAATCACTCCCAAACGGGGCCTAAATTTTGATTTTAATACTCCAAATAGAATAAAGCGTGAAATCAATTTGAAGAAAGGCACCTCTAGGTTTTTGTCATCATTTTCAACATGTTTAGGCTTGTTTGGTGATGGAATTAAAGTTAACTTAGTACACAACGATTTTAACGGCAAACATTTAGCTTTTGTTTGAGCCCTATTTTAGGGCGGGAAATGTACTATAAAATGGTATTTTTTTTTTTTT